CGAGGTGCCCATATAGCCTGAGATGGCGGTCCCAGATTATGCAAGTAAGAGGTCCTATACCAGTTTCGCGGTGTAGTCATCGGTTGGACACATGGTCCTGCCAACTGTACCCCATAATCCAGTGTAGAAACTTATTACAAAAGTCATCAAGTCGAGACTCCAAGGCACTTGATAGCGGCCAGGTTTCGCTTCCATACAGTAAAACCGGCAGTATTAAGGCCTTGAAGATACATAGCTTGCATAAGTACCGAAATCTCCAAATGCTCTTATTGATCGAGTTCATGGTTACTGCTGCCAGGCCAATCCGTCTACTGACTTCTTGGTTTGACAGTCCAGAGACATAGACTACGATACCAATATATGTAAAACTCTCTGTGACTTCAACATCCTCAAACCAAGCATGTATCAGGTTCCCCTAACAGGCCCGAAAAATCCTGGATCATGGTCTTGGTCCAGGAGACTTCTAGGCTCAAGAGCTTCGCCTCATTGCTGAATGCCAGAGCCGCCACCAGTGATTCCAGACACTCAGATAGGATAGCAACATCATCGGCAAAGTCGAAGTCAGTGACCTTGATATTGCCCAGTGTTACTCCACAATGACTTTGGATAGTAGTTCTGCCCATTATCCACTACATGCAAGTGTTGAAAAGTGTTAGTGTAAGGGCACAGCCTAGCCTTACCCCTAAATTAACAGCGAAGAAGTTTGACAGGCCCCCACTACATTTTGCGGCATTTTCAGTACTAGTATATAGGCTTACTGTTAAACCAATAATTCTTGTTGGAATTTCTCTAGGCCTCAGGATTTCGCGATGCACCTTCTTGAGGCAGATGTAGGCTGTGAGCAGTCCACAACTAAATTCACGACAGCGTTTCACAATGACTTGAAGTGCTAGGATATGTCTATTGTGTACTTGCCAGGAGTGAATCCAGAATGCTCCGGTCTCTGGTACCTTAGTAAGTGGTCACGGATCCATTTCAGAAGAGTGTGGGCGAAAACCCTGCCTGGTATACTGAACAGTGTGATGCCACGGTAGTTGCTACAGTCCCATCGATCCCCTTTCCCCTTCCAGAGAGGGATGACCACGACCCTCAACAGTTCAAGGGAAATGGAACCAGACTGCCTGATGGCAGTCAAGATTGGTTCAACCCCAGCCTTTGGCAGTTCAGCAGGGATATCACATATACCTGCAGATTTCCCATCCCTTAGCTTAGAGATCGCCACCCTAATCTCAGTTAGGGTAGGAGGTACCTTGCTTGATGGGTAAGTTTAGTACAAGTATTGTGACACCACTTGTGTCCAGACTAACTGCTGGGTCTACTTGGTACAGCTGCTCAAAATATTTTTTACGAATCCCAATATGATCTGAGATGATCTGTCCATACAATGAATGGAGTGTAGTCAGTTACTAAGAAATGGCCTTCATCCTCCTCAGCAAGATTCCTGATGAACTGTTCCTCGTACCTTCTCATCAGTGTCCGAGCCCTGTGTACCAAGGAACGGCGCAAATCCTGATGGCCATTCAGTTGAGCCACTCAATATGCATCTGAGGCCTCCAGAGTCTCTTGAAATGAAATTCTGCCTTGCAAAGGCACTGGGTCTGTCAGATTGGCACACTCCTCCCTCAATCTGTCCAAGTGAAACACCTTGGAGTGGCCACTGGAGAGATGAAGGTTTTGAAGTGTACCCTTAGGGTAATCACAACCAGTCTATGGTCAGTGTCACAGAACTCAGCACTCCGGTAAATCCTGCAGTTCTGAAGGATCTTCCAGGAAGTACTCACAAGAATGTGGTCGATCTCTTTGGTCACAGTACCCGCGTTGCTGTAGCAAGTCCAGCTATGCTGGTTGGAGTGCTGTTACCAGGAGCCAGAAATCCTCAATCTCTGAGTGTACACAGTAATAAGAGACAGTTTCGATGCCATAATACGATCATCGCCTGGAGTTACCTCAACTACCAATGGTTGAAATTGGCTGGAGATGGCTATGGCTACTCCCTGGAAGTGGTGACCATCATCCTGACCCGACCAGTTGTAGGTGTATCTACCCATACTGATCGTGCTGCTGCCAGGTCTTCTCACCTCCGAGAGGGCAGCCACTTCAATTCCCTACTGCCTCAATTCTCTTGTAGCAGGGGTAACTGCTCATCCTGCTGCAAAGATTGGGCGTTCCAAGCTCCTACCTGGATAGCTCGCATGAGGTTGAGCCTTACCCCTACTGACGGTGCCCAAATTAAGGGGGTTGCAGGCTGTGGAGCCCAATGTCCACCTGTGGGATTCCTTTGGGCTTTGCCTCATAGGCTTCATACTGGGTTGGCTCCTGCCAGGGCGCAGGCAGGACGAGTAACTCTTGTTCCCATCTTGCGCTCCAACATTAGCCCTCCCAACGGGACTAACAGCTCACCTCACTTGCTGGGTGAGAGGGGCAGTTCCCCTTCCCCCAGCATTTCCATTTATATAAGACGTTTCCAGTGAGTTTTATCTGGGTGGAGGAGATCCGACATCCCCCACAGTTTAGCCAGAGACCACAAGGTGCCTATGGGTAGTCATGAGGAGGCACTGCAGAAGTTTCAACATATTTATATATATGTGTGTGTGAACATATATATATGTGTGTGTATGTGTGTGTGCGAACATATATATATATATATGTGTGTGTGTGTGTGTGCGTGTGTGTGAACATATATATATGTGTTTGTGTTTGTTTGTGTGTGTATGTGTGTTTGTGTGTGTGTTTGTATCAAGATACTATATAGGATTGTGATAGATTGGTGGATATAAAGAGTTTCGCTTATCTGAGCCAGCCCAAAGAGCTGCACAAACACACACATATATATATGTTTCCATCTTTTATATGGTTTCGCATAGTGCCCACGTCCTGATTTGGCAAATATATGAATACACATCTTCATTTCAAACACATTCTTATATACACCATATATGTGTGAATGTGGCGTATGTATGTTTATGAGTACTCGTACAGAGACGAATGATTATACTATTCTTCAGATCATATCATACTCATTTATGCAAACAAACGTAGATACATTATGAACACATTAAAAGCTAGATGGACGACAGAGAGTACAGTTATACAAAGAAAATTTATTTGAAGTTTCAAACATTAGAAATTCTGTGAAGGATCTATTCATAAACAATCGTGAATTCAACTAACAGTGACCACAAAGGATAACGACGAAGCGATAAAATCAATGAGACCAGCTCCTCAAGATGAAAGAGGAAACAAGAAATCAGAAATGCTCTCTCAGATTCACGCATATCCTCCTCCTCCGCCTCCTGCTGCTCCTCCGAAGGACTGCGTCCTCTGGTAGGGAAGAGGCGGGGCCACGGGGAGCAGGGCCCCTTGGGGCTGGTACCCCCCCTGGTCGGCCACGAAGGTGATCTCCACAGGGATGCCCTCCGGCGCCTGGTACCTGTAGGTGGAGGAGGCGTGGTCATGTGTGTGGCGAGAAAAGCTGAGAGTATGTTGGGGAAACAAGAGACGTGATGAGAGGCGAGGCTCCGGCCTGAGCCCGAGAGGCACGTGACTCACCTCCAGCCTCCCTCCTGCACGTGTCCGTTGTCTTCTTTTCCGGACTCGTAGCGGACGATGCCGTTGGCGGCCTCGAACTCGAAGGTGTTCTCGCCGTAGGCGTTCTGCGTGCGGTCGTCCTTCACGATGGGGATGAACCGCCCCCCGCCGCCACCGCCGCCGCCGCCACCACCACCGCCGCCGTATCCCTGCGTTGCCGCCATGGCCACCACGCTAGCCAGCACCTGCAAGCAGAGGGAGGCATGGAAAAGCCCTTCCAGTGGGGCCCTAGTCCCAGCCAAGCACGAGAGGCGATCCTCAAGCGACTACTCACCACGAGGCAACTCCGAGTGTTCATGACTGCGCAGGGAAGCTGCTCCGAGACTGGCTTCTTTCGCACTCGCCCGCCTTATATACACACTGACACACACACCTGCTCTTCGTCCTGCCATGGCTACGCCCATCGGATCACTGGCCACGCCTTCTTGCAAGAAACTGTTTTTCATGCAAAAAGAGGATGATTGTGAAGATGAGGCCTCATTATATTTGATTATATGCCTTGTAGTTGCTTACTCATGTTTAGGATTTTTCTCTTCAGTTCTGTTCTGTTCAGAGGTAAGTCTCATTTGTCAAAGTTTTCTTTGTCATAAATCTCGTTTTTAGTTTATTACCATCGCTTCAAATACCGTTTTCGGGTAATGATTGTCAATAAAAGGAAATATTAATTAGTAAAGACAGATAATCATCATTTAATTATGTTATTCTTGTTATCCTTCTTATTGCTATCAACGTCATTTCATGTTTGAAGCTATTGTTTATTGTTGTTACTTATGTCTTTTAATCACCATTATGATTAATATCACTACTGTCGCTATGCACCATTATCATTACTTGTAATATTTATTATGATTATAACCATCAAATTAATATTATCAAATCAGCTATCATTATAATGATTGTTTTTATAACTATTGTTTTTATTCCTAACACGATTATTGTACATAATAAGGATATTAATATTAACAGTTATTGAGAACATCAATAATAATAACCATAACAATTTTGCAAATAATAACTAATTTTGACTTATATCATTACTGACGAGAAAAAAAATACTATAGTGAGAATGATAATTATCACTATAAGAACCCATGGAATTAATAACTTTGTGATAATGATAATGGCAAGTCTAACCAAAACATTATTACTCTTAAGAGCTTTACTTTTAAAATAACAGTATCGATATGATGATAATGACTCTCTATTTACATCATCATCCTTTACTATCATAATCACATTTGTCATTTGTCATTACTATCATAATCACATTTGTCATTTGTCATTACTATCATAATCACATTTGTCATTTGTCATTACTATCATAATCACATTTGTCATTATTCTAATTCAAATAGTGTGGATTTTCTGATTATGTTGCTAAAGAATTGCAGTCATCATCATTATTAATGATTGATAATGCCAAGCTGTAATCAGAATTCTTATTTTCCAGATGTAACTGATGATGAGAATGACTAATATCGTTGTTATGATCACAGTCTTTATATTTATTATTGAACACATTTCTTCAGATTGCCATCGCTATCTCTCAAAAGTCTTCCTAGCCTCTGCGCTCAGCAATTTCACATGTTCCGCTTGTGCGAACATCAGCTTCATTACTATCGTTTAATGAACACCAACATTACCATCAAAATCTTTATTATCTTTGTTATCATGCTCAATATTGTGGCGATTAGGCAGTCCATATTATTTGATGCATTGGGGCAATCGCCCGGCTCTCGAGGTCTGGTTAAGTCTTGAGGATTTTGAAGTTTGCAGAAGCTGCTACTGACTGGCTGATCTATTAATGCATGAATGTATACTTAAATATATATATATATATATATATATATATATATATATATATATATATATATATATATATATATATATATATATCAACCGCGGTTGATTAGGAAGGTGATCCAATCAGACAAAGGTGGCACTGCCAAATTACCTCTCAATAGCGAATTCAGAGAGGCCTATGTCCTGCAGTGGAATGAAAGGCTGTCAAAACAAAATATACATACACACACACACACACACACACACACACACACACATATATATATATATATATATATATATATATATATATATATATATACATATACATATATATACATGTATATATATGTATATATGTATGTATATATGTATATACATACATATATATACACATTTATATATATATGTGTGTGTGTTTATATATATATATATACATATATATATATATATGTATTTTTTTATACATATATATACAGACGTATACACACACATAAATATGCGTGTGTGTGCTTATTTTTGTGCGTGCATGTGTAGATACATTGCAGAGACGAGCTTGTGAAGTTTTCAACCTCCTCCCCCCCCCCCCCCACCATACCCATCACCTATCCCCCCCCTTTCCTTGCCCTGATCCTTCTGTCCCTCTCGTCCCCTTATTCGCACCCTCTTCTTGTTCCCTCGTTTTTTCTCTCCTCTCTCTACTTCCACGATAGCTTCTCCCTCTTCTACTCGTCTTCCTTGCTTGGGTAATTGTTTATAAAAGGACCGCACCCGTCGGAGACCAAGTCCCGAACTCCAGCCAACAATCTTGGGGGATCCCGTGGGGAACCGGGTTTTTTTTGGGGGGGGGGGATGAATATCGATGAGATTGCGAATAAACAGCAACAATAAAGTTCCATGAAGTAATTTTAAATAATAAAGAAAGTGGAAAAATGAAAAACCCGAGCCAAGAATCGTAATTCAAATGATAAAGAAAGTAGAAAAATGAACCTAACCTAACCTAACCTAACCTAACCCGGACCCCCTCCCGATCGCCGTATTTTCCTATCGGGGGCTCCGCCCCCGGACCCCCTCCCGATCGCCGTATTTCCCTATCGGGGGCTCCGCCCCCGGACCCCCTCCCGATCGCTGTGCTTCAGCAGCAGGGGGATCCGCCACGAACCCCCTCTCGAACACTAGATTCGCCATAATCATTTTACATACCTTAGTGAGGAGGGTACAGGCGAGCTACGGCAAGGAGGAATTCGTGCAGGCGCTTATTAGACTCGGGGATGTTCATCTGGAATTTTTTGAAAAAGACACCAAAGCCACTTTCGCAGTCTTGACACCGGTTAGTCATACTTGAAACTGACCGGCTGTCAAAGTAGCCATCCTTCGTTTACGCGCGCAAAGTATGAAATGAAATCATTGTTAAAAAAAATAAACACAGGCCTTAATTGACGAAACAAGGTCAATATGAAATAGAAAAAAATATTTTAAATAACATCTTATGTTTATGCAAGAAAAATATTAAGATTAGAAACGTATGAAAAGCTAAAAAAAACAATGGAATACACGATTCGTCGTGACGTCATGTGACGTAGGTGCGCAGTGGCCGAGCAGTCGGGGTTAACAATGCGCGAGAACTTAGTAAACATAGGTCGCGTGTGGACTTAGCCGCGTCAACGCCGAGTGGACTTAGCCGCAGCGCGGCACTCACCCCGATCTATTTTCGTCGTTTAACTGGAATCGGTAGGCTTCTGCAAATTAATTTTGATATCAGTCAATGTAGTTTTTCATTGCCTACAACGCTATGATCTTCAATTTTCTCCTAGTCGGTGCGGTCCTTTTGTAAACTTTAACCCTTGCTTGTTCAACCTTTTTTCTCTATCCCTATACTATCCTCCCCCCATCCTATCCCTATCCTGTCTTGTATCCTGCCGCATTTCCCCTCGTACCCCTCTTATTCGCGCCCTCTTCTTGTTCCTTCGCTTTTTCACTTCCTTCTATTTCTACGCTAATTTCCCTCTTTTCCATTCCTTTCTCCCGTTTGTCCTGCCTTCTACCTTTAATCCTCTCCTCTCTTGCTCCCATCCTATCCCTATCCTACCCAGCATCCTGCCGAAATCCACAGGGCGAGTCGAGTACAGC